AATCCAACCGACATTCATGGTGTGATATAACTATTTTGATAGGGGCAAGGATTCTAAACCCATAGATGGCATCACCATTTTCTATTCAAATCAAAAGCTAACCAATTATTAGACCTCATTTTTTCTTACCCTTTTCTAATCCCTTTTTCTCTTCTTCCTTTTTTCAAATACATTGTCATTCAACTTTCAAAGTCATGACAACTTTACACAAACAAATGTCCTTTCTTCCACACAAAAGACATGACATTGGAAACTATATGGATTTCTATAAAATATATGGTAGTTGAGGAGATTGAGATAGTAGGTTCAACTAAATAAGCTTTAGTAAATTACCATCAATAACATTTTTTTTTTAATCATAGTGTAACCTCTTTAATGTTAGAATACTAGTTTAACTAAATATAATTTTTTAGCTTTGATAAGCTTCAATTTTGGAAGTCGAATGTCGCATTCAGATCGGTGATATATGTTTTTCATGCAAAAAATTATGTTCCACACATTGATTATGGTTCTCTATCGTTTTTATATAACATGATCATATTTAACATGTCACCTCTTTAAAGTTGGGAAAATGTTTTTTCATTATGTACGTCTAGGCTTGTTAATCGTGTCGTATGAAGCGGGTTTATGTTAGATCTTAATTGGTTCGTGTCGAAAAGTATTTCACCCATACCCGACTCGTTTATAAATTTGTATCTAACGAGTCGTGTTATATCTGGTTCGCGTCGTGTATGAATCGTGTATAATTGATATATAAACGAGTTGTGTCGTGTATTTTTTTTAATTGATTTCATACATACTAAATCCGTTTATTAATCGTGTCGTGTCGGGTCCACTCATTTATTAAACGGGTTGCTTAAGGAAGACTCAAACCCTTTAATTTCAAATCGTGTTTGTATCGTGTTAACAAATCGTGTCATATTTTAATACTCCTATGTACGCCTATACCGAAGAGTGGAGATCTTGCAACACATACATGTTATCTAACCATATAAACGCGTGAATACATAAACCATGCCCATACTCCGTCACAGTAGTTGGATTTAGATCTTTCCTTCCAAACTATCCATACGGGTGGACTCCCACCCGCCAAAAAAATAAAAAATTGGGTTAACTCCCACCAAGATTTTGATTGGAAAGCTTTGAACCATTTTGATTTTGTTCCTTCTACTCATTAGAAATGGTAACGTCTACGAAAGTGAGGGAAAATTCTTGGAAGTTAGGTTATCGAACGTTTTCATATATGATTTGATTCTTTGTTGGCATTGATAATTGGATTATGGAGACACACAACGGATAAATATATGAATAAGGTGTGGGTGGTTGTTCAAATGAGGTATGAAATATGACATATCACCTCCTTTTCTTGTATGGATTGTAAAAAGGGCAATGAGGTGGACTTATTTTGATACTAATATGTTAAACAACAATGCCGCATGAACTTAATTTATTATTCTTGACTATTTATAGCTATTAGATTAACACTGAGCCCAACATTGGGAAAAAAATATTGGGCGGAACAGTGACACGATGTTATCATTAACACGTAGTGTCATCATCTAATAAAAGAATAACAGATAAACAGGGGGATTCCACATATTTTAGTAATCGCTCTAGCTATATCATTTGATGATTATCTAAGTGGCGTTCACCTTGTCCATTTGTAAATTTATTATTAAATGATGACATAACATAGTAATGATAACGTCGTGACATTACATGATAATTACAATATGGTGTCACCTTACACCCAATATTTATTATTTGTTGGGACCCACAACTAATTTGGTTCTAATAACATTATTGTAAACGAAGAGATTCCAAAAATTTTCAACAATTTGGAATTTTTGAAGCATGGAAAACTAAGTAAGGATAAAAGCGAAATAGAGAAGCTAATTAGAATAATTTGGGTGGGAAAAGTATTAAAGGTGTACTATCTCGAGATTATAAGCTCAATATGTTGTTATCTCGATGAGAATGGTTAACCTGTTATTGTATGCATCTATAGTTTACATTGTTGTCACGGGTCTAAATGATATATATACATAATTGAGACGATTATTCGTTATTAAAAAAAGACATTTCGCTCACGAGACTTGAGTCATTATGTGACTTGAGAATGATTACAAATATCAAATATATCTTGAATCCACAGAGATTATTTTCTCTATTCAAATTAAAATAAAAAAAAATTGTGAAAATTCTAAAACTAGTGTTTTAAAATTCGGCTCGACCCGGCGGGTCAATCCGGAGAACCGGTCCCTTAACCAAAACGATTTTAATAAAAAACTGCTTATGTACAGAATCCGGTATAAACCCGTTGAACTAGTCAAAAACCGGTGAAACCAAAAGAACAGGACGAATTTATCAAACCGGGCGGGTTAATGTCATTATATAAATTTGAGTTATTTTTTTTTCCTTTTTTTCACTTTTATTTTATCTCCTCTTGTGTTGTTGCCCTAAACTCAGTCGCAAAGCCTCGCCTCCACCACCAACCCAACGGCTGACCACCCACGGCCCCCACTTCGCCTCCGGTAGTTCAGAGCAGCAACGAGCAACAACGATCAATAGCAATTGATTGGCTCTAACCACCACCTCGCCTCCATGGTTCCACCAACAGCGACTACAGTCCCAGTACCACCAGTGTGAGTTTCCCTCTCTCTCCCTCTCGCATCAATACAGCAACACAGGAACCAATTGAAAAAATTCAGCCACCAAAACAACTTAAAAAATTCAAGACAATTCAAGGGAAGAAATCCACCAACACAGGAACCCTTTATTTGTTTGTAAATACTCCAATTGAAACTTTAATGCCTCTGAACCAGTAATTGCACCTTCCTACTAACTCTCTCTCTCTCTCTCTCTCGATTTATGATTTTGTAAATTCTGTATATTTTGTTCGATACGTTTTTTTTTTTTGGGTTAATTTATCTCATGTTGTAATGCATTATGAGTAAGTTGGGGCTTGTATGAACTTATCACTTGGAATGGATGTTTATTCTTAGTTTTCGGTTTGTTTGGTTGCTGAGAAATGAAGGAAAACGAAAGAAATAAAATTGTAAATTGGTTTTGATTATGGGTTTATTAGAAGAACGAATGAACAATTGCACACAAAATGAGCTTAATTTAACTATTCTAAAGAGTTCTTTTGTGTTAGATATCATGTCTAAATTGGTGTTAAGTATCTTTGTTTGTTTGTATTGAAAATTAAATACATTGAAATTGGATACATGTTTGATAATTTTTCTCTACTTAACTTTATATGTTTGATGTTATTTTTATAATTATTGTGATTTTTTAGTCTATTTATTATTATTTATAATTATTTTTAATTTTTTTATAATATTACCGGTCCGACCAGTAACCCAACGGTTTAACCAGTGGTCCGTTGATCTGGTCCCTTCACCTGTTTGATGTTCGGACTGAGTTTTAAAACTATATCTAAAACTAATGAATTTAAATAAAAAAAATTGAGTCTCAAAAAGGTTGTAGAAACCTTCGTCTGTTGAGCAGATAACACAAAATTAATCATGACAGGGTAATAATTTGAAGAGGAGAATTTTAAGCAGCTTGATTGACAGCACTGTTACTTGCATAATACTCTCCACCACTCTCTCCTCACTATTCTTTGACAAATTAACTACATTAACTACCCGATGTAATTCCTAAAATGCCCCCTCTCCCCCCCAACAAAAATAAAATAAAATAAATTCTTCACTTCACGAATAAATAGTGTCCAACAATGCTATGGTAATTAAGATTTTTTATCAAATTTTTTCATCTCAAGTGATGTGACATAATTTTTATCATCAAATAAATAGGTCTTATTAATATTTAATGATAGAAATTGTGTCACATCACTTAGTATAAAAAATTTGATAAGTATAACATTATTGAATCGGTGCTCTTGGGGTCCTCATCCCATATGAAGGATCCAACATATCATAGATCTAATTAGTGGGTTAGTGTTACTCTCAACATCAATGAACACAAAGACTCCTATTTATGAACCTAAGCAATTAAAATAGAAATTATGGTACTCTAAGGGTGTGGGATTGGACTTGAACAAATCGTAGATCTTCCAAACTTAATTGATATTTATAATTTGCGGGTTATTGTATGCATCTGATATTTATTTTAGCGAGGATAACTGCAAAGTGTCTCTACCTTAAGAGTAATTTCTCATTAACAAAAAAATAAATAAAAGAAAAGTTCAATGGGGTTGTATGTCAAACCAAGAAAGTTTAGCTAATATTACTGATCTATGTGGAAAAGGGCCAAAAAAAAAAAAAACAGAGGCAAGAGAATGTGAGAGAAAAAAGTAATTGAGCCATGTTAGAATCGTACCCCAAAAAAAGGCGCGCAAGATAGCAAAAACGATATAGTTTGATTAACTCTTTAAACGTTGTCGTTTCTTTCAATTCGGTAACAAACTGAAAATTAACGGCTTTTTTGACCAGTGTTCTTAAGAAACATTACACTTTAATCCCTTCAAACTGTACTTATATTTCATATTATCCCCCAACTACTATATTTTTCTTATTATACACTAATTTGTGATTTCTTACTTTATCAATTGCAGAAGCTCGTTACAAATTCAATGTTTTTTTTTGGTCGGACACTATTACATGTTCAAACTCATGATCTACTTTTTTTTATTCAGCAATCAAGGATGGTAGAGTCAGTTTATTTGTATCTCGATTAATTCTCTTTCCGATCCGATCAAAAATAAAACATTTACGTCAAGATTAAAATTTTTACGAAAGATAAATTACTCACGATCTTAAACTTCAACTATAAGACATATGCTGTGATATGTGAGACATTGTCTCGCATTATTAATTATTTTAGAGGAAGAGATGTCATTGTGTTGCACTATTGTACGGGCCTATGTGCTCCCACCAAAAAAATAAAAATAATAATATAAGTATTTAATAGAAATAGAATTAAGATTTAAAGGTAGAAAGTAAAATTTTCTGATGCTCTTCTTACGGTCTCCACTTCTTTATAAGCTCTGAACAAAGTCCTCAAAAAGTGTCAGACAGCCGCAACCAAAACCAAACACACCTTCACCACCGCTTTAATCAGCCAATGTCGCCGGAAATACAGGCTGTGCCACCACCACTATCCGACTGATCGCTACCACCACCTCCACCGCCACCAACACTCTCTTCTTCAATAATGTCACTCTCCAAACAAAACCAAGCGGCCTCAACTCGGGACCTTAAGCACCGAGTCCTCACGTGCCTCCACAAGCTCTCCGACCGTGACACCCACTCCTCCGCCGCCGTGGAACTCGAATCCATCGCCAAGACTCTCTCTTCCGCCACCATCCCGCCCTTCGTCTCCGCCGTCTCCGCCACCGACTCCGCCGACAAATCTCCCGTCCGCAAACAATGCCTCCGCCTCATCTCCCTCCTCTCCGAATCCCATGGCGATTCCATCTCTCCATTCCTCCCCAAACTCATCTCCTCCATCATCCGCCGCCTCCGCGACCCCGACTCCGCCGTCCGTTCCGCCTGCATTTCCGCCACCGCCTCTCTCTCCTCACACTTGGCCAGACCTCCTTTTTCCTCAATCATGAAGCCATTTTTCGAAGCTTTAGTCACTGAACAAGACTTAAATGCTCAGATCGGTGCGGCACTGTGTTTGGCGAAGGCAATTGAGATGTCTGATGATCCAGAGCCAATGCAATTGAGAAAGTTAGTGCCGAGGATGGAGAAGTTGCTGAGGAGTGAGAGTTTTAGGGCGAAATCGGCGCTGTTGACGCTGATCGGGAGTGTAATTGAGGCTGGCGGAGCCAGGAATGTGAATTTGGTGAGAAATCTAGTGTCGTGTTTAGTCGAGTTCCTGAGCAGTGACGATTGGGCGGCGAGGAAGGCCGCTGCGGAGGCGTTAATCAAACTGGGTATGGTCGAGAGGGATGCTTTGTCGGAGTTTAAGGCTTCGTGTATGAAGACCTTTGAGGCCAAGAGATTTGACAAGGTTAATATTGAATTGAATTGATTTCTTAGTCTGTGGATTGGTTTTCTGATTGTTCGTGTGCGTTGATGATTGTGTAGGTGAAGGTTGTGAGGGAAACAATGAATCAAATGATGGAGGTTTGGAAGGAGATTCCTGATTTATCCGGTGAGGTCTCGTCGCCTCCTAAATCACAATCTTGTTCTAAAGGTATGCATTTTATTTTGTTTTTTGATGCTGTTATTGACAAGTTGCTTATTAACATATTTTCCAATCTTTGGTGGTCTGATTGAGATCAAGTTCAAATTTATGTTTATGAAGATGTGTGGAATAAGATGAAGCAAGTAGATTCAATACACATTGTGCACATAGTACCATACATTTTTATTCTACAAAAAAAATAAAAAATTAGATAGTAGATCCAATTTTGTTCTTCATTATGGTCATTCTTGCTTCTTTATGAAGCAATTTTGAAATCGAAGTTCAAATTTTATGTTTATGAAGATGTGTGGAATAAGATGAAGCTTGTTGGTACAATACACATTGTGCACATAGTACCATACATTTTTATCTTTTAAAAAAAAATTAGATCGTAGATCCAATTTTGCCATTCATTATGTTCATTCTTGCTTCTTTATTTTTTTAGCACACATTTTTGTTTTTCTTTCAGTTCCATCAGTGAACGTCAAGGTTTGATCCATTTTTTTCAGTTGTATATTTTTGGTTCATGTTTTGTGGCCTTTTTTCTTCAGGAAATTTTGGTAGTTTAGTTATCTATGATGATCATTTCATTTGCATTTGTGTGGTCTGATTACATGGTCTTTATAATTGTGATGAATTGTTCTCTCGGTTTTTATTTTGATTTTTGTTGCTTCTCTGTTTTATATTTATTTGATCTACTTTTGTTGCTGAACCTGAATATTCATTCATCTTCTTTTTTTTCTTTCTGTTGAGGTTCTTATTGTGTTTAGATCACTTTAGTGTTCCAGCAGATTACTATGGCATTTATTGTGCCATTTGTATAAATTTGTTGTTTTTTTCTAAATTCATTTGTTTCCACGCCATTATAGGGACAGAGGATGGTAGTGACGTGCCCTATGGAGCTCCTCAATTGAAGAGAAAACCTGTACTTGCTGACAGATCACCTTTCCCTGATGGTTCTGCTGCTACAGCCAGGAGGAGAAGTCTATTGGATAGTAATGGCAAGAAAACAGGTCCAGCATTGTTCCGAAAACTAGACCGTAAGAAGCCTAGCGATTGGAAAGTTGAAATTGCTGCTCCAAATGTTACTTCAAGGGCAGTGGTTGGTGAAGTTGATCCTGGTTGTGGAGAAAAAACATTCGAGAAAGGGGATAAGGAGGGAAATAGATCTACAAAGCAAGAAACGAGGCGTACCCTTTTCAGTAAGGACTCCGATGGAAGAATGCACAAGTTTGGTGGATTTAAGGCTGGATCTCGCGTTGTTCCGTGTAATGATGAGAGGTCGGAATCTACTGTTGTCACAAGTAATGTGCCTGAGGACATCAGTAGAAACCACAAAGAGTGTGAGGATTTATCTTTGATCCGTGGGCAGCTTGTTCAAATTGAAACTCAGCAGTCCAATTTGTTAGATCTCCTCCAGGTAATTTGCATGTGATCACCAAGTAGGCTTTCTCATTGAAGTAGCTTCTTATATCAGGATATTGCATTGTAATTGCAATTTCATTGTCAAGTGTACTACTTTCAAAGACCACCATATGCTGTGCAAACTATTTTTCATATTACAATCTTAATGGAGTAAATCATGTACATTATCTGGCAGGGCAGGGCATCAACTCGCACAAACTCTTGTGCTATAGGGACTAATCAGCTACTTATGTGCAGCTAAATTTTACTCAACATACACTGTAATACGATTAGTCATTCTACTGATTTGACTAACTCTCGTGTCGTACTATTTATCAAGTTTTTTCCTCACAATTTTCCTAATTCTTCTTGTTCTAGGGATTCATTGGGAGCTCACAGAACGGAATGCGTTCCTTGGAGAAACGTGTTCATGGTCTAGAGCTTGCATTGGATGAGATCTCATATGACTTGGCTGTGTCAACTGGAAGGATGTCAAATCCTGACTCTGCAGCTATTTGTTGCAAGCTACCTGGTGCAGAATTTTTGAGCTCTAAGCTCTTTGGGAGAACAGAAGGTCGATTTTCAACTTCCCGGTTTTCTTTCAGTGGTACACCATCAGTGGCTGCCATGCGCAACACAGTCGGTAGCCATGGCAATACTGAGACATTTAAGCCAGAGAATAGGAGGTTTTGGCGGGGTGGTGGTGGTGGGTTTGTTGTGAACCCATTGGCTGAGATGAACAGTGAATCCCAAGAAATTTCAGTGATTTCCTCCAAAAGGGTCTCAAATAATGTCTATCCTGGCGTCTAACATGCCATTGGACATCATCTGCCAGAGTTACCCGCAGGTATTACATAATATATCTCATCCTAGGCTTTAATTCTGTGTTTCAGTCTCATTTTGACTATAATTTTGCAAAAGCTAGCCACAGATTGGCGTTTCAGGATACCCCTTCTTCATTCATGGCTTCCTGTCATCATGGCAGTGGATAACCCGGTAGAGAGTAAGGTTGGCAATAGTTCCCAATCTTATGACAGAGGGGGAAACGAAGGCAAAATAAGAAAGAAACTGTTTGACCAACCTATTTGGAAAAATGATATGCAGAAAAGATGTATGACCACCTAAAAAACATGTTATACACCTTTACTTCCTGCATATCAGGTTGTTGGATGAAATAATTTAGCTACTCCAAGTGAAATTTTCTACCAAGGCCCTGTCTATCTATTATAATTGGGTTTTCCCCATCTAAAAAATCTAGAAATTTTGCAAAATGAAGAAAATTTGGTAGATTTTGTCACCTCTCAATCTTCTAATACTTATCTATTCTGTTTATCTTCTTCCCATTCAACAGATGAGCTGTTACATCAGATACATATTGGAGGTGTAATACTCATATTATTAGCTGAGAAGCGAAGCTATGGATTGGAGTTCTTGCCATACTACATACGAAAAAAAAAATTGAGTTTTACAGGTTTGTTGAAGCGATTCACTCAAATCTCTCTACATGACTGGAGCCAGCCAATACATACATACTGTAACCCTTTAATTTCAGTTTGAATTTTAGATCTCAATTTTTCATTCATTTCTTTCTTCAAGTCATATATGGATGGATACAAGAAGGGAAGGAAGCTCACTATAATGTGCAAGTCTTGATATGAAATGAAGGGTCATGTGAATAGAGAAGAATTTTTCTTTTTCTTTTTTCGATTTATTGTTGGTTTGGTTGATTAATATTGAGTTAGGACCGATACCAAATTGTTGTTCATGGTGGTATTGAGAGCATATTGTATGGTATGATTATATATCGACCCCCGTGTTGTTCAAATTAGAGGACCACCCCTACCCCTACCCCTACCCAACCCCCCAACCCGGGCCACTAAGGAAACGAGTGAGTTAGGTGTAGAGGAACATCAATGGCACCTTTAGCTTTACTTGTGGGCCATATCAATATGAGTCGGGTGAGGCACATGATTATGTATAGGAGTTGCAATTTTTAACTCAACGTAATGACATTGGTTGAAATATATCAAAGTGTCTTAAAATATTTTGAAACAAATGTCAAAATATATTAAAATATTATAAAACATTTTGAAATATTATGGAATAACTTAAAATAATTTCGATTCTATCACTGATTCGTTTTCGACGTTTCGACCGCTTGAAAACAAAATTTTGATATTTTTTAATGAATGTTGCAGGTAGTTTGAACCAGCCAGGTCACAACCCATATACGGCAAGTGCTGGCTAATCAACATCCTGGGTGAGAATATTAATCCGGCTAAGCAAAATGTAGAGATCTGCAAGCAAATGGACAAATTTTAAAGTGTTCATTTTGACAGATCATTCAACACAATTTTTTATTCATCTGCCCTTCTTTTAAAATATGTATCCCACAGTTTTTTTATTCATCGACACTTCTCGGTTTATATAAACAAAACACAAATACGATATAATTTTTAAATAATATAATCTAAATATGAGAGGAAATGATTTGCTTCTCGAGAAATCGTAGTATTTGTTTCATGGGTTGGCTGGTCTTGATTATTTTACCTCGACCAATGAGAAATGTCTGATATCTTTTTTGATGAAAATTATTGACGCGTTTGGGTAAAGTGAAAAAAATTATATAATTTGTGTGGAAAAAATAACATAAAATTTTACTAAAAATGTAACGGGCGTTAATAATTAAGACAATGTGAAACTAATCACATAGTTGGGCGTGCAATGTAAAAAATATGTTGAGAAAAAAAAGTCATAATTGAGAGGGTCAAAGTGTAATTTACCCAATTTGATAATAGTAAGCAGTATGCAGACATTGCTGCAGCAACAAAACTACCAAACAGATGTTTTTGCAGCTAAAAGAATTAAAGTAAGAAGGATTTTTCTATGATAACTTTTCGTCACCAAAAAAATTACGAACCAATTAGTTAATAGACAAAATTACAATCCAAGAAGATCAATTAATTCCGGGTTTTTATACTTGAACCATTTTTTTCAGCTCATTGATTAATGCATTTAAGTACAACATGATCATTTTAGATTGAAAGTTGGACAAAATTTGCTTTAATTTCGATCCCGAATCAACTGCACTGTTCTATTATGAATTAAGCATCACAAGTTTGAGCAACAAAATTGACACTAGTTGCAAACTTATCACGGGTCTTGGTGTGGTAGCAACATTGTCTTATTATGAATTCAGTATCATGAAATTAAATTACAGAAACAACCTTTTTCACACGCAATCGCAAATAGGATTAAGATTGCGTACATCTGATTATTTATAGATGATGCAATGGTAATAGCCTACGGACTGTCCTTTATTTTTTATTTTTAAGAAATGCAATATCTTCCTTTATACGTTCTTCAAAGTGCAACAGACAGGTAATCAAACCAAACAAATGAGCAAAACTAAATGCTCAATTTTCTGGAAGCTGAACTAGTATTATTCTTAGTTCCCTGCAGGTGGCCTACTTAAAGCAATATATATATATGTGTGTGTGTGTGTGGAAAATTTTTCCCCAATAAAACATACTCAAAGGTGGAAACCACCACTAAAAATCAGTCAATTTCAACAAGTTATGGTCCTGTGAATGAGAGAGAGACCCTGAAACAATACGCCAATGATCATTACATAATCGATATGATGCCCATAAATTACTACCTCAAGGATCTGCAATTCCCTCGACTGGATTCTTAGACGAAACACCATCTTCAGTTACATTGCCTCCAAGTTCATCCACCTTACTGTGTGAATGCATGAAGTAACAGAATTACTGCCACCATTTTTTCTCTGACAACGATATAAGCTGCACAAAAGAACAATCAGAAAGATTTCAATATAGCAGTAAGACACAAAGCAAAAGTTAACATATACATACAACTGGGTCTCTTGTCACACTTCAAGATAAAAGATTCAACCACGATCATCAATCTAGTAAAAGTTCAACCCAACCAAAACATTACTAAAAGCATCAAATTGCTCCCACGGAAGGCATGCCAAATTGGCAAACAACAAACTTCCAAGAAAATCACTTGGTGCAACTTTGGTATTCCAAGTCATGATCTATTTTCGACTTTAAAATGACCTCAAAACAAACAACCATTGAAGAAGCCTGCATCTTGATGTTAGCTAAAATCATATATTCTGTAGATACAAGTTGCATAGCAAAGAGCAACACAATTTTTTTGTTTCTTCCCCTCTCCCTCATTGGCCCCTCAAAGCAAATCAATATCCAAATTCTCAACATTTGATTGTTATGCATAGGAATAATAGAGAGTTATCTTACTTATCAACAACTTTTACAAACTTATAGTAATGCAAAGTTAGCTTACTTATCGACAGAAAAATAATGTACAGTTTTAGCAAACAGTCTAGAAAGACTAGATGGGCTAGCAATCACGCTGACCATGCCCCAATATAACTTGCAACTGTACCAATTGAACCTAAAAAATTATCAAGAGTTCTACAGGTATTTTTATAAAAAAATACCAATATAATGCATACATATATGCACAGAAGAACACGTAAAAGATATATACTACAAACCTGACGAGCAACCTGGGCTAGTCGGCGACTGTCCCTAGATGATTCTGTTATCAAACTGGACTTCTGTGGCTCAACGGAACCAGTTTGTTTCTCCTCAGGTTTTCCCTCAAAAGTGCTTGTTTCAAGAGAATTATTCCCCTCAATGCTAGTCAAAGAGACTCTTTTTCGTTTCCTTTGGAATGTGTACTTGATAATCCTATCAGGTACGGGTTGAGTAGGAACCCCATGAGTTGTATCAGGTGCTTTTGACCCTTCTGAGTCTGCTAATGGCACATCAACTTCCTCAATATTCATTCTACCAATTGGAGCACCTGAACTCTCAGTAGATCCAATTTGTTGTCTCATTGTCAACAACTTATCTACCAATATATCATCATTAACCATTGTGCTTTGAAAATCACAAGCTTTAACAAACTCTGCATCACTTCCATTAGTTTCTGCACATCCCAGCTGTATGCTCATTCCAGTGTTATCTGAAGTTAATCTCGGGGCCATCTCATAAGAGTTTTCAGTGGAGGGAGCATTGTTATTAACTGGAATTGAACCCAAGCAGGGTATAGCAGGTGCTTGAGCCATCTTCATAGATTGTTCAGGAAGAAACCTGCAAGAGAGTGTTCTATATTTCCTCTTTCTAGTAACTCTCTTTCTTTTTCTACAAACGGTCGTGACAGCCTGAACTTTGTACCAGCTGCCAAGCCTGCTATTTGCGTGCACTCCCTTGTTCTCTGTACACATATGGTCGGCCTCATGAGTGGGTGTTGTACAGATCCTTTCATCTTTCTCATCTTCTCTTGCACTTGACTTATGCTTTACATCATTTATTAGTTCAGAAAGAGACAATGCCTTATTCAACGGCTTCCTTTTACATGCACGAATTGTGGGTGTCGTACAGATCCTTTCACCTTTTTCGTCTTCTCTTACACTTAGCCCAGAATAAGACAATGCCTTACTCAATGCCTTCCTTTTACATGCACGAATTCTCTGGGTGCACCCGTTTCTGTACAGCTCAGGCTTTTTTCTTCTTAATATTATCGAGGGAATATCAGGATTTCCCATATAGGAATTCCCGGTATGAACTATCGAACTAGAGCACTTATTGCCCTCATTACCCGGATTCAAATATAAATTCCTCATGTCAGAAGCTGCGATATATTCATGTTGTGATTGTGGATGAGGGAATATGAGAGTCTGAGAAGTATAGAGTCTATTAATCTCTGATGTTTCCTCAGGAGTAGCCATATCAAGTTCATCCAGAGGTTGTACTTTGTTGTTTGACACCCTCTCCAGTTCAGCCTGCACTTTTCTCAGCTCTTCTCTGAGGTCTCTTACGATGTCCTCAGCTTCGTGGAGTTGTGCTTCGAGTTCTTCAATCGTTTTCTGTTGATTCGAGGATTTAATCTCTGCTTCACAAATCTGTAAAACAATGTATAAACGCCATAGAGTAAATAAGGAAGTAAATCATTATGATGGCAAGTGAGATAAACCTGTCTCCATTTGTCGTCAGTAAAATTAACCAATGTCTTTTACTACGTGTAAGGAACGCTAAGGGCTCGTTTGGTTGCCGTATTAGAAATGGATGGATTAGATATAGTAATACGATCTAATACAATACAAAAGAACAAAAGACAAGATTAAATAGGTTATTAGAATAATACGTAATTTTATCAAGTGTTTGGTAATACACAATATGAGTGTTGGATAATAGTTATTTAATCCAATCGGTTGTTTGGTTAAAGAATTATTTCATCGTATTAATGTTGAATTAACAAAAATATCCTCAATCAATGTTTGTTACATTGATGACAACTTGATTTTATCAATTAAGGGGTTATAATAGTAAATGTGTAGAACAATACATTTGAGTTGGATTATAATACCACCTCTCTTGGTGATATTAAAAAATCTCCATAATACAGAGCTATCGTATAAAAAATATATGATAAGTATACGATCAATATACGTTTTTTAAATTAATACGGTATCAAATTTGCTTACCAAACAAAGTATTAGGCCCGATTAAATAAAAAATAGTACAATCCAATATTTAATCCCCTCATAATACGTCTACCAAATTAGCCATAATGTTCATATGTGTTGGATTATTGGAAACTCCAAAAGAACAAGCCGCTAGGTAATGGAGCCAACAATATATTTGACAAAACTTCTTCCCCAGATGTGATTTCCCTCCAGCACTTGGAATCATAATTTTCATACTTCGAGGTGTTTTGAATTGTTTCAAAATGTTTCGAGTTGTTTGGAAATATTTCGACATGTTTCCACCAATGTTTCAAAGTGTTTCAAGAAGTTTCGGTTTATTTTGACTAATGCTTAGGAATGTTTGAAAAAATAAATTTTCAAACTTTCTAGTCGACTGTTTTAGAAACGATGCACCCAACGAAATTTTGATCCCTGTTAGGAAGACTTGAACACAATACCATACAATACTAGAGCTTTGGTGACACATTATATTACCGCTTCCTTTACAGAATTCATGCAACAATCCTTATCAAGCTCTCAACAACATGGTTCATGAGGAAAACTTGAAACTCAACTTAGCTGCTTAACTACCAGCAAATGGTTGATCTAACACAGAATTAGCATTCTAATCATTAGCGTGTGCCTGTGCCCTACACTTCATAAACTCATTCTCCAGTATAGAGATTGTATAACAACAGTATTTCAATATATTGTAAACTTCCACAATTTTCCTGACTTCCCGGACAATTAGAGACCAACCAAAGGAAAACTAAAACTTGCACACATACTGTTGAAATGTGAATATTTAAAACCCAGTCATTGCTGAAAATTTATTTTTTCCTGCGGATATGGTATCTAATTGCAGTATGAGAATGGAAATGATCCTAATTCAAGGCAAAATCATCCTATTTTATGTCAAAAAACTCATAAATTTGTTGGATTAGTCATCAATTTCCCT